TTTTTTTTTCATTGTAAATGATGACAGAATTTTCATTTTTATGTGAAATATCCCTTAAAAACTGAATAATAATAATATACAGTTTTAAAGGGATAATTCACACAAAATATAATTATATTTTTTAATTATTTTTCAATATTTTGTGCTAATCATTCCATATATATATATATATATATATATTATAGGATTTATAGTTTAGCATTTAAACTATAATGGTATATGAAAATAAGCTTGGAGACAGGAGAGCCATTTTTCTTGTTGAAGCATCTTGCAGAAATAACATTTGAAAGTCTTCTTTTTGATAACTATTTGTAACAGATACTGACTTCTCAGTCTTGCGCAGATGTAAAATAATGCTCAATGTGTACTTTTTAAAAAGAGATGTCTGGATGTCACTTTTCTTGGTATTTTTGCAGGCAACATTAGGACAAAGGCGAAAGAGTAGGTACCTAGAGGCCTATATTTTATTGATCTAAATTGACAAATGAAGCAGATATATATCTATATATATTTACCCCAGCACTTGGCAGTCTTTCTTTAATTGCAATGTTCCTCTGTCTCTCTGGTAGGTAATAGAATGGTCTTTTACCATGTTTATTCCATGCAAACATTTCCAAATTTTATTCTTTTTAATTGTTCTGTTTTAGCATTTTCAGATGTTTCTTTTATTTTTTTTACATTCAATGTCATATTTTGAAGAGTTAACTTGGTGTAGCATTTTGCTTCCAAGTGGTCACATTCGAACTGTTTCAACGTGTCTTTTTTTATGAAAATAAATAGGCATCTTTGACTGAAAACGATTGCAGTATGTTCATTTTATTTTATTATTATTAATATTTTTACATTTTATTATATAGGCTACACTGAAATGTTTCATCAGTGTAAGAGAGTACATTTCTACGTCCTACAAGAAGCATTGGAAACGACAGAATAGATCTCGTGGATCTCTGGGGAAACTTCAAAAGGCTTATTAAAATGAACGAGAAATAAAATGCAGCTGTACCTCCGTGTTCATTTAATATGCATTTGAATATTCATGCAGCCTTAAGTACACGATAATAAGGGAAATTATTTGCAATACAGCTAAAAAAAAAAAATTAAATGGCCATTCATTTTTCTTACACATGCTCAACTTTTGGGTCTGAGAATATATAAAGCATGGTTTTGATCGCGCTGAATGCACAATGCAGCATACACTGCTGTATAAGCTGATTTCAGTATCAGTAAAGCTAATCGAGTTGTTAATAAGTTCCTAACCCAAGCTTAAATATAAAGACGGTCTGATACTGAGACCAGTTTACGAAGAGTTAAAGTGTAGTGCTTAATAAAATGCTTGTCATTTCCTATGATTCACAACCGAGTTATAATTGCTAACAGTCTTTGTCCTGTTTCGACCCTTTTCTGTGGCTGTTGTGCTCATGTTTGACTTTATGTTAGGCTTGACTGTTACAACAGATGTGTAACAATAGGATCTAACTAGTTATAAAAGCCAATGTATGTTGTAGGGCGCCATCTACTGGAAGAAGATGAAATCAACACGCGACTGCCTTATGCTGTTTATCGTTGGCTAACAGATTAATCTGATGCATTAACAGCTACAGTATCCGCATACTAAACTATCTGAATGGAAATGAGCACAAAATATTGAATCGGTCACATGATCTCGTCATATACATGTTTTCATTAACAATACACTTTTATTCAAGAGCATTTCACAAGGACTAAATGCTGGATGCTGCAGTAAATAAGTTGTTGTATTTCCTCTTGAATAAGCATTAAGGTAAGTGTAATTATTATTATAACTAAATTACCCACTAGATGAACATTAATTGATAGAATACATTAAATATTACAGAATATTGCTCAGTAGTAAAAATCCCTTACGAAAATTAACCGTGGTTTTATTGTAGTAAAAGTGTAGTAACCATGTTTTATTATTATTATTATTTGGCGTATTGATTACCATTTGTATTTTCTTCTTACACATGCTCAAATTTTGGGTCTGAGAATATATAAAGCATGGTTTTGATCGCGCTGAATGCACAATGCAGCATACACTGCTGTATAAGCTGATTTCAGTATCAGTAAAGCTAATCGAGTTGTTAATAAGTTCCTAACCCAAGCTTAAATATAAAGACGGTCTGATACTGAGACCAGTTTACGAAGAGTTAAAGTGTAGTGCTTAATAAAATGCTTGTCATTTCCTATGATTCACAACCGAGTTATAATTGCTAACAGTCTTTGTCCTGTTTCGACCCTTTTCTGTGGCTGTTGTGCTCATGTTTGACTTTATGTTAGGCTTGACTGTTACAACAGATGTGTAACAATAGGATCTAACTAGTTATAAAAGCCAATGTATGTTGTAGGGCGCCATCTACTGGAAGAAGATGAAATCAACACGCGACTGCCTTATGCTGTTTATCGTTGGCTAACAGATTAATCTGATGCATTAACAGCTACAGTATCCGCATACTAAACTATCTGAATGGAAATGAGCACAAAATATTGAATCGGTCACATGATCTCGTCATATACATGTTTTCATTAACAATACACTTTTATTCAAGAGCATTTCACAAGGACTAAATGCTGGATGCTGCAGTAAATAAGTTGTTGTATTTCCTCTTGAATAAGCATTAAGGTAAGTGTAATTATTATTATAACTAAATTACCCACTAGATGAACATTAATTGATAGAATACATTAAATATTACAGAATATTGCTCAGTAGTAAAAATCCCTTACGAAAATTAACCGTGGTTTTATTGTAGTAAAAGTGTAGTAACCATGTTTTATTATTATTATTATTTGGCGTATTGATTACCATTTGTATAACCACAGTTTTACTATGGTTAGTGTAGCAAAACCATGGTTAATTTGTGGTTACCATTGCTTAACTAGCCTAGTATGTTTTTTTGATTTTAAGACCATGGTTAATTTTCGTAAGGGATGAAACAATCTTAAAGCAACGTAAGCATTAAACCGTGTTTTTAATTTAAATAGTACCACGATTCATTCATTTTAAATGCATCTTATATTTGTATATTACTTATGTTATAGCTACAGTGGTGTGAAAAAGTGTTGGCCCACTTCCTGATTTCTTATTTTTTTGCATGTTTGTCACACTTTAATGTTTCAGATCATCAAACAAATTTAAATATTAGTCAAAGATAACACAAGTAAACACAACATGCAGTTTTTAAATGAAGGTTTTTATTATTAAGGGAAAACAAAATCCAAAACTGCATGGCCCTGTGTGAAGAAGTGTTTGCCCCCCTGTTAAAACTGTGGTTTATCACACCTGAGTTCAATTTCTCTAGCCACACCCAGGCCTGATTACTGCCACACCTGTTCGCAATCAAGAAATCTCTTAAATAGGACCTGCCTGACAAAGCGAAGTAGACCAAAAGATTCTCAAAAGCTAGACAATCAGGAAGGGGGCCAACACTTTTTCACACCACTGTATATTGTGTAGTATTTATCATCTCAGGGCTCCAAGTTTGATCTCAAACACATTTTGTGAAAATAAGAATATTACATACGATATAAAACATAAGTTTAAAAATATATTAAAAAGTTCAGTTAAAATGATGAATTGTCCCTCACATATTAATATGGAAGTGGTCTGATATGACTCTGAATATTAATAATGACTATTTTAACTTCTTCACAAAGTACCTATGTAATCATAACATTATGTAAATACAGCAATAAGGAAGTTCGAAGTGTTTGTTCTCACATGTTACGCACACATCAGACAGCTGTGCCCTTTAGAAGAGCTCATTTCCTCGGTCTGATGTCATTTACTCGCTCCAGCTGCTCAGACTTCGTGTCATTTCCTGCGGTCTGCTCGGTCTCTTCCGTGGGCATCAGTCAGTGTAATGGCTGTCTGCCAGAAACCCCGTGTCTGACCGGCGGCCACAGAACAAACAACAATATGAGGAGAAATCAGAAAAATAGCTTTTTGATATGGAAGACTCGCTGTTCCCATGAAGTGTTCACACGGACAGAATTCCCAGGAAGGCCCCATCGTCCGGAAAGAGTGAGTTAAAAAGTTGTTATTCTGAGAAATGCTCGGAAATCATTTGTTTGCATCCTTCACTTGGTTTAATATCTTATTTAATGCAATTAGACAATACATTTTAAAATAAACTGTAAAAATAGATTGGTTGTTTTAAATAAAAATGAATAAAGGTTTGGAATATTTCCATAGTTTCATTGATAAATGATTAAAGCTCACAACGTCCTAAAAACCTGCATGCAAACTTCAAAACGTTGAAGGTGCAACAACTGGAATTATAAACTTGTGCATTTATATTGGACATTGCAGAGAGCTGAAAATATATTCATGGATTATTCAGAAGGCAAAGTTCTTACATCTGTCTTTCTACACAATGTGAAGAGAGTCCACAGCAAGGGTATTTGAGGACACTGAGTTTGTGATTTTGTTGCTTATGAAACTCAGAAGCCATCAGCAAATCATATTTCAGAAGTCTGCATAGCCAGGATTAAAGAAATATCCAAGCTCCAAAAGTTAATATAAAGCATTTGAATTACGGTAACATGATTCATACAGTTTTATTGTTAATGTAAATCATGTGTAAATACAGTGGCCACAATATGTTGGGATCTTTAAAATAAAAGTCACTTGCTGTTATATTTGCTCATTTATGAATGTTTAAGTGTAACACAAGTGTTCAAATGCTTGCAGGGCAAATTTGATGAATTTCTATATTTTTATGGAGGACTAAATTTCTTTTATGTGCCAAATATTTTGAGTTTCCTTGACAGGGAACCGAGTATGAATAAATGATGAAACAGCGACATCTATGGCTACATGTTATATTATAAATATATCTGTGTTACATATGATTGACAGAGATAAACAAACACACTATATTCACGAAAGGCTTAAGTCTTTTAAATTAATTCTTTTCATGCTAATCTCAATTTATGTCTATTTGACAATGAATGCAGGAAGGACAAAACACATGACAAGATATTTTCATACCTTTTAATGCCACAGACATTCAGAATTAAAGAACGCAAGTCTTTACCAAACACAGCAAGGCACTAGATGTAGTGGACAACATCCCTGTTTTAAAGACCTTTTATGTCCCAACTAATTTGCATGTGTCCGGTAATTTCATACAGGACTTCCCTGGGAAAAGTGGTGTATCTGATCACTATCTTAACCTTTATACATTTATGAAATTCACAATCAAACAGTCTTTTCAGGACAAGTGGCTCAGTCCAGTGCCTTTCGTTGACCCAGCTTTTGTTGTCTGATTTAATCTTGTGTTACTTGTGCTTGTAGAATCCCTCGCCGGTTTTCTTGCCCAGTTTGCCTTCTGCTACCAGTTTGTTGAGCAGGGGACTGGGGGCAAACAGGGGGTTATCGGGGTCCTTCTCATGCCAACCTACACAAACCCATAATTAGAAATCAACACAATACTATTACATCAGAACTTGGTATGCTCAAATCAAAACGCTCACCGTCAATAATAAACTTGGAAGTGTCCAATCCAACATAGTCCAGAAGCTCAAACAGACCCATAGGATAACCGGCCCCTAGCTTCATGGCCACATCAATGTCTTCCTTGGAACCGTGACCTGCAGAATATTCACACCAAGATGAAACCCGGAAATCTGAGACAAAATATGTCTGGGTACCCATTCATAAACCTTCACTGCTTTACGCATGTACCTCTCTCGTGTAGTCGTACAGCCTCGAGCATGTAAGGAACCAGCAGACGATTCACTATAAAACCTGGAGAGTCCTGAGAGGAGACGGCAAATGAGAGTGACTCTTGTTATTATTAGAAATAATAACGATAACTAGATAAAGTCTGAAGTTTAAGCTTGATTTGACAAAGCCTTGTCTGAAGGTTGAATATAGTCATTTTAAAAAGCTTTCTGAACGTTCATTTTCTATCATGTTTTAACTCTTTACTGACATTTTAACATTTTGCTAGCATGTTTCTAGCAGGTTTAACACAATGTTAACATAACTAAGCATGTTTTATCGTGTAGCATGTATTAACATTTCTATCATGTTTAAGCACATTGCTAGGATGTTTTAGCATATCGCTAACATGTTTTAGAATGCTGCTAGCATGTTTAAAGCATGTCTAAGGACATTGCATGATTCTATCATGGTTTACCACATTGCTAGTTCGCCCTAGGCTTGTTGTTAGGCTTTGTTTTAGCACATGTCTAGCATGATTTAAGCAGGTTTTAACATACTGCTATCATGTTTAAGCGCATTGCTAACATGTTTCAAGCATGTTTAAGGACATTGCATGTTTCTATCATGTTTTACTAGGTTGCTAGCTTGCCCTAGGATAGTTGTTATGCTATACTAATCAGACAGACAGACAGATAAAAGAAAGCCAACATAATAATATACAAGATTACACAACACTCACTTTGCATGAGACGGGATGCTTCCCCAAAGCTTTGCTAAACTCAAGGAGAGCATCAAATGTCTGTTGGCTTGTCGCTGGAGCTTTAATCACCTGAGATAAAGACAGTTAGTCAAGTCACATAGTTAAAGGAAAGGTTTACCCAAAAATGAAAACGCTGTCATTAATTACTCACCCTCATGTAAGACCTTCGTCCATCTTCGGAACACAAATTAAGATATTTTTGATGAAATCCGAGAGCTTTCTGACCCTGCATAGACAGAAAGGGAACTGAAATGCTCAAGGCACAGAAAGGTAGTAAGGACATCGATAAAATAGTCCATGTGACATCAGTGGTTCAACCGTAATGTTATGAAGCTACAAGAATACTTTTTGTAAAGAAATAATGCATTTGTAATCATGTTTTTTTTAATATGAGCACAGCTGTTTTCAAGTGGAGTATCGCTATATGCTGATTTTCAGAAACACATAATTCTTGTGTGGTTGATATTACTTAAAGGGACAGTTCACCCAAAAATGAAAACGCTGTCATTAATTACTCACCCTCATGTAAGACCTTCGTTCATCTTCGGAACACAAATTAAGATATTTTTGATGAAATCCGAGAGCTTTCTGACCCTGCATAGACAGAAAGGGAACTGAAATGCTCAAGGCACAGAAAGGTAGTAAGGACATCGATAAAATAGTCCATGTGACATCAGTGGTTCAACCGTAATGTTATGAAGCTACAAGA